TGGGTGCCTTTATTATTTGCTGGCTGCCGTTTTTTATTAACTCTATGATGGATCCCTACATTAATTTTTCCACCCCAGTTGCTCTTTTTGAAGTGTTTGTCTGGTTAGGTTACATTAACTCAACCATTAACCCCATTATATATGGCTTTTTCTACCCATGGTTTAGAAAAACCCTTTCTCTCATTATAACAATGAGAATATTTGAACCAAACTCGTCTGATATCACTGTTTTCACCGTTTGACTTTATTTCATTGCGATCTAACCTCACACAAATAAAGAACAGTGTAAAATCCCATGTGTTTTATCTGTGAAAAAGATAAGCCTATATAAAAATTAAAACTTTTTGAGGGGAAAAAAGTAAAGGCATCCATCTTAGTTCAGTATGTTGTGATTGTGAAACAGGCATGACTGTATTTTAAACATAAGCATACATAAATAACAGGTCCAAAAACTGCCCACTCAATAAGTTGGACATGAGGAGAAAAATTAGGAAATCCTCACTCACTTAAACAGTATGTGTACCGAGTGCTGCAGTATATGCATTTTTGTAGGCCAATCACCCTGGTCCACATCACCCTGGTCCCCTCAACAAAAACACAATAGGATTCTTTGCAGACAATAAGCTCTGTAACTAACAAAAGTTTATGATTCTCACATATTTTGTTCGTCATGATAATCTTCACAAATGAACCCAACTTTTATACATTTTCAAGTGTAAAGACAGCCAGCAGAAGTCAAAACCTAAACATAGACTATAAACAAACCATGGTCGCATGACTTCAAAATCATCACCACTAAGCTTCTGACAAGTTACTCATTCAGTCTTTGTTTAAAAAATGTTCCCTGAAATTTAGAGTCATAATAGTGCAAGTGGAGTATAGTCCTATTTAGACACATTAGTCCCATTTGTTAGCAACCACCTTTTACAAGGCAAGTAACAATAAATAAATAAAAAACACAGGGTATTACTGATGATTTTTATTTTTTATTTATTTTATTTATTTGTGGAATAAAACATGAACAAATGCGCTTGTGTTTGCCAAATACCTTATTTCAAGCACATTTCAACAACAACCCATTCAAAAAAAAAATTTTTTAATTATGTCATGCCTGCACCACTCTTTTATGTATGACAAATTGCATCCCGAATTATGAAAAATAATAATAATAATAATAATATTAAATGACATGAATGAACATCAGAAGGTATGTTGAAAGAGTAGGCTACTAACTAACCAAAATGATTCATGCCTCATACAGTATAATCGCTCAAGCAATGTTTCGACTGTGGAAAGACGTAAAAAATAGCATGTAAACATGTCACTGTTAAGTTTTCTCAGAAAAACCATTCAATGTACATAGCTTAATAGTCAGCTAAATAAACTCCAGAGAGGAGTGTTTTGTGTTCATTATATTTGAATTTACCTTGTTCTTCAGTTGTGGCCTTATGGTTAGAGGGTTGGACTTGTAACCCTTGAGCGAGGCACCTATCCTCCAGCTGCTCCCCGGGGGCCGTAGTGAATGGCTGCCCACAGGTTCTGTGACCGTTTACACAAGTTCAAAAAAAATTGACAAGGACTATACCCGATATATTTCCAAAAGGAATTGATATCAAATCAAATAGTTTGGAATCTGATTAAATCCCAAGCTTTTTGATAAAGATTGAATCAAATCGTGGAATTGTCAATACTTGTCCTAAACCTAGTTCATCTCAATGGCAGTAATTTGGCTGGCCAGAAGTAGCCCACATGTGTCACACACTGACTACACTGACAGATGGAGACGAAGACCACTACAACAGAGCACATGGGACTGAAGACCCCTATGGTGGAGCAGGCGAAGCTGAAGACCCAGGGGAGCCAGTGGTCCTGAAAACAGTGGACCAAATCGGTACTGGTCCATGCTGGATACCGTGGCAAAACTGAAGAGGAGCATAGTGAGATTATTTACAGCCTCAATGGCCATAACAGGGAGCTCAGAAAGTTCAGAATCGGCTTCCGTGGCTGTGACTGGGCAGATAAAGGGTTCAAGAATGGCCTCCTTGGCCGATTCTGGACAGGCAGAGAGTTCATTGATGGCCTCCTTAGCCATAACAGGGCTAGTAGAGAGTTCAAATTTGACTTTTTTGGCAGTGACTAGGCTGACAGAAAGTTCATATCATGACGAGACGAGACTCTGGCGCGGCAGCCGAGATGAGACGAAACTCTGGGGCGGCAGCCGAGATGAGACGAGACTCTGGCGCGGCAGCCGAGACGAGACGAGACTCTGGCGCGGCAGCCGAGACGAGACGAGACTCTGGCGCGGCAGCCGAGATGAGACGAAACTCTGGGGCGGCAGCCGAGATGAGACGAGACTCTGGCGCGGCAGCCGAGACGAGACGAGACTCTGGCGCGGCAGCCGAGACGAGACTCTGGCGCGGCAGCCGAGACGAGACGAGACTCTGGCGCGGCAGCCGAGATGAGACGAGACTCTGGCGCGGCAGCCGAGACGAGACGAGACTCTGGGGCGGCAGCCGAGACGAGACGAGACTCTGGCGCGGCAGCCGAGATGAGACGAGACTCTGGCGCGGCAGCCGAGACGAGTCAAGTGACGTGACGGCCGAGACATGACGACCATGTCGTGAAGAGACGAGACTCTGCCGTGACGGCCATGTCGTGAAGAGACAAGACTCTGGCGTGACGGCCATGTCGTGAAGAGGCAAGACTCTGCCGTGACGGCCATATCTCTTTTTGCCTCTTCATGTCGTGAAGAGGCAAGACTCTGGCGTAACGGCCATGTCGTGAAGAGACAAGACTCTGCCGTGACGGCCATGTCGTGAAGAGGCAAGACTCTGCCGTGACGGCCATGTCTCTTTTTGCCTCTTCATGTCGTGAAGAGGCAAGACTCTGGCGTGACGGCCATGTCGTGAGAGACAAGACTCTGGTGTGTCGGCCATGTCGTGAGAGACAAGACTCTGGCGTGACGGCCATGTCGTGAAGAGACAAGACTCTGCCGTGATGGCCATGTCGTGAAGAGGCAAGACTCTGGCGTGACGGCCATGTCGTGAGAGACAAGACTCTGGTGTGTCGGCCATGTCGTGAGAGACAAGACTCTGGCGTGACGGCCATGTCGTGAAGAGACAAGACTCTGCCGTGATGGCCATGTCGTGAAGAGACAAGACTCTGGCGTGACGGCCATGTCGTGAGAGACAAGACTCTGGTGTGTCGGCCATGTCGTGAGAGACAAGACTCTGGCGTGACGGCCATGTCGTGAAGAGACAAGACTCTGCCGTGATGGCCATGTCGTGAAGAGACAAGACTCTGGCGTGACGGCCATGTCGTGAGAGACAAGACTCTGGCGTGACGGCCATGTCGTGAAGAGACAAGACTCTGGTGTGTCGGCCATGTCGTGAAGAGACAAGACTCTGGCGTGACGGCCATGTCGTGAGAGACGAGACCCTGGCGTGACGGCCATGTCGTGAAGAGACAAGACTCTACCGTTAAGGCCATGTCGTGAAGAGACAAGATTTCGTGGCGTTTACTGTAAGAGCGTCGAGTTCCTCATCAGCCACTCCAGCAATAAATGATGAACTACTGTAGTCATTAATGACTAATGTAGGGAATAGTGATTGAGGGTTTAGGGGGCGACTTTGGATCCAGCCAAGGGCAACAGGAAGTAAATACAACTCAACATTGGCACAAGACAAAAGATCATCAAAATAAGAGTGCATGAAACAGAGATATAAGCTGCATCCCAATTCAGAGTCTGCATCCTTCGAAGGACACGGACTTCAAAGCCAAATGCTTTTTTTCAAATTTGCATCATTAGATATTTGAGTAAGTTGAAACCCAATACTTTCGTTTAAAAGTTTATTTCGGCAATTTCTCTCAAAAATAAAATCCTGTCGTCACTGGCACACAGTGAATTCTGGGGTAGGCAAGGCCTCGAAGGTTACATCTGTTGTATCCCTAATTTCAGTCAGTGTTGTAGTCGAGACCACCTCACTCGAGTCCGAGTCGACACCGAGACCAGAGAGAGTCGAGTCCGAGTCAAGACCGAGTCCATAGAGAGTCGAGTCCGAGTCAAGACCGAGTCCATAGAGAGTCGAGTCCGAGTCGAGTCCGAGACCAGAGACGGTCGAGACCGAGACCAGTGAGGGTTGATTACCTAATTTACTTTTATTTACTTAGAGAAATCTTTTTTTTTTTTTTTTTACTGAATTTACTTAGAGTTTAAAAAATATGATCAGTTTAGGGTAAAAAGGCCTCATAGTAGGTGGTGTTAAAAGTAATTTTATTACAATTTGTCATGCGCAGTTGAAAATCTAGAAAATCACCAATCACTGGGCGTGTCAATCAATTTAAAGAAATATTTTATTAACATACATTAATAATCATGAAAAATATTTTTAATTGAACTCGAGTGGACTCGGGAATAATTCCGAGTCCTAAAAAAAAAAATGTTCGAGTACGAGTCAATTCCGAGTCCAAATGGACACGAGTCAAGACCAAGACCATTAAAATATGGTCTCGAGACCGAGTCCGAGACGAGTCCGAGTCTCGAGTACTACAACTCTGATTTCAGTGGAAACGAAGGCCGCATTTGAAGGATGCAATCTCTGAATTTGGACGCAGCATCAGGGAATGGTGACAATTGGCTGCTAACGTTGCTCATTAATTCCCGATATTTTTTAGATTTGTCATCAGATAAATGGTAAAGCTTTCAATTCTCTTGCCATTTACACAATTTTATTTGAAATATTTATATTTTTATGTAGCAAGATGAATGATTATTAAGTAATGTACAAAACAGAAATTTTAAATAATGTGATTTCAGTCTGTATTTTTTTTTTTTTACTCTTAATTTTTAATGAGTGCTTGATTGTCATTTGTTGCCCTGTGATGATGTGGGAGGGTCAGATAAGAACATGAAGAGTATTTAAAGCCCTAACTAGACTAAATTCAACTTTGGTTGGACTAAACAAAAATTTGATCTGTTCTTGTTTTCTGAGACAGGCAGGATGGATTTATCTTCACAAGAATACAATCCCACTGAGTTTTGTTTTCCTGCAGTAAACAACTCTTGTCTTAAAGGCACACACCTTGTGTCCACTCAGACTGTGTTGTATCTCATATTAGTGTTGGCGATGACTGTGACTATTCTTGGAAATTCGGTGGTCATCATCTCCATAGCGCACTTCAAACAGCTCCAGACTCCCACTAATATCCTGGTGATGTCTCTGGCTCTCGCGGACCTGCTGCTCGGACTGGTGGTCATGCCTTTCAGTATGATCCGTTCTGCCGATGGTTGCTGGTACTATGGAGATGCTTTCTGTTTGCTCCACTCCACTTTTGACTTGTTTCTCACTTCTGTGTCTATTTTTCATCTCATTTTTATTGCTATTGATCGACATCAGGCTGTGTGTTATCCACTTCAATACCCAACGAGAATAACCATATCTGTTGCATGGGTCATGGTGCTGATAAGTTGGAGCATGGCTGCATTATATTCATATGGTTTATTGTACTCAAAAGCAAATGTGGAAGGAATGGAGGAATTTATTGCATCCACATACTGTTTGGGAAGTTGCACTCTGTTTTTCAATGCATTGTGGTCTGTTTTGGACACGTTACTAACTTTTTTATTGCCTTGTTCTGTCATGGTTGGACTGTATGCAAGAATTTTCGTAATTGCAAGAAAGCACATTAGAACTATCGGTGATGCAAAACAGCATGAAAATGAGACAACGTTTAAGAGCTCTCGACGATCTGAGCGCAAAGCAGCAAAAACTCTCGGTGTGGTCGTGGGTGCCTTTATTATTTGCTGGCTGCCGTTCTTTATTAACTCTATGATGGATCCCTACATCAACTTTTCCACCCCAGTTGCTCTTTTTGAAGCGTTTGTCTGGTTAGGTTACATTAACTCAACCATAAACCCTATTATATACGGCCTTTTCTATCCATGGTTTAGAAAAACCCTTTCTCTCATTATAACAATGAAAATATTTGAACCAAACTCGTCTGATATCACCGTTTTCACAGTTTGATTGTATTTCTAATCTCACTATGCAGCACATGCTTCCTTTTGCAGATCACATAAAGTGCATTGTAAAATCCGGTGTTTAATCTGTGATAAATTAAAGGGTGATCTAAAGTCAGATCTTTGGCACACTTGCAGTGTATTACTGTGTGTTATGCATGACATTAAAAACACATTGCATTAAATCAAGATACTCTATAGGAAGTTCGCAGTCTACTTTTCAGTAAACTGTGGTCAGTTTTAGACAAATTAAAATCTTTTTTCTTACCTTGTTCTGGCATGGTTGAACTGTAAGTATTTTTATAGTTGCAAATGTAAAACATGTAAGAACAATCGGCCAGGCAAACCATTATGAAAATGAGAAAATGAGTGTAAAGCAGCAAAAACTCTCGCTGTGGGTGTGGTCGTGGGTGCCTTTATTATTTGCCGGCTGCCGTTTTTTAATAACTCTATGATTGATCCCTACATCAACTTTTTGAAGTGATTTTCTGGTTACGTCATATTAACTCAAACATAAGCCCCATCATATATGGCCTTTTCTATCCATGGTTTAGAAAACCCCCTTTTTTCATTATAACAGACTCTTTTAACCAAACTTGTCTTATATCAATGTTTTGATGTTTTCCAATGTTTGACTTTTTTTTTTTATTGCAATCTGACGTCAGTGAGGAACAGTGTAAAATGCGTTTTACCTGTTAAAAAGATCAAAACAGTGGCCAATATAAGAATTCAAAAAAAGAAGCAAAAGCAGTCCATCCATCTTAGTTTAGTACATTGTGAAGCAGACGTGACTATTTTAAACATAAACATACTGTACATAAATACCAGGCCCAAAAACGGCCCTCTCGTTTTCTAGGCCTGTAGAAGCAAAAATGAGGAAATCCTTACACATTTATAAACAGTATGTGTATAGAGTACTGTTGTAATGATGTTTTTTTGTAGGCCAACCCAGAAGTTTGCATCACCCTGGTTCCCTCAACAAAAACCCTATAGGATTTTTTGCCTTGGCTTTTGAATTATTTCAGAAAATAAGCTTTGTGGCTAAAAGTTTATGATTCTTAAATGGTTTGTTAATTTCAGTAATCTTAACAAATGAACAACTTTTATGAATTTTGAAGCGCAAATATAGTCCGCAGAAGTCAAAACCTAAACGTCTAAATGAGACTAACACAGGCACGTGACTAGAGTAATATATGTTGCATAGAGTTATAACAGTTTGCAAAAGCATGATTATACTTGTTTTCCTGTTGGGCCTGATGACGTTTAATGCCCTCACAACCACTTTTTTAGACTCTTGTTGCAAACCACCTTTTACGTGACAAGTAACAGCTTTTTTTTTTTTGAATCCCTAGATACTGATGTATTTTTTTTATCATAGAATAAAATGTGCAAAAAATTCGTTTGTGTTCACCACAGACTTTATTTCAAGCACTTAAAGGTTGTATCAGTGATTGTGGGTAACGTCATTTCTGTTTGTGTGTTTAAAAAAGCGAGATCCCAAACAAACCAAGTTAGCTCGCCCCTCCCTCCCGTTTCGTGCAGCATGAAAAAAATGATCATGCACGCGCATTTCTTAAAGCGATATAAACACAATATTTTCAGATTGACGGTGTGCCTCAATGATGGTTAATTCTGTGAACAGTAAAATGTGAACTTGGCTGCTTTGGATTACAAAGTATAATGATGTATATAAAATCTGCAGTTGAGCCATGTCATATTATACAGCTAGTTTTACTGGTGCTTCACTGGAAGTAGTGTCGCTTAAGTTGAGTAAATCTGGTATTTTGGCCGAAATGAGCGATATTTATAGGCTAAGGCCAGTTAAGTGCGCTCTGACGTATTCAGCGCCATGTCAGTCGACTGGTCGCGCGTTCAGAGGTGCTCGGCCATTGGATGTGCAGTTGTATTGCGCAGCCAATAAGCGAGCTAGACACTCTGCTGGGTTTCACTGTGCAGCTGCACTGCGTTTTAAATTAAAGCTCCAATATTTTGAGGAAAAGGAGCTTCCCCACTGCGTATTAGCTACAAATACAAAGTGACCGTTCTCGAATGGGAACCCTGTCAGTTGGTACAGTGAGTACGGATTTACTCAAACATATATTAAATAGTAAAGAATGGTTAAATAAAAATATAATGAATATGTAATATAGTGCATAGAGTAGTGCAATCGGCTCAGCTGATTTGGGGGCAGTTCAGCGACGCACAGGTAGATCTGTTTGCCTCCCATTACTCTTCCCATTGCCGCCTGTTTTACTCCCTGACCAAGGGGACCCTCACCACGGATGCACTGGCGCACTGTGCAAGATCAGGGAGAACAAGGAGCAAGTCATTTTGGTTGCGCCTAACTGGCCCAACCAGACTTGGTTCTCTGAACTGGTACTCCTTGCGACAGCCCCTCCCTGGCCAATTCCTCTGAGGAAGGTCCTCCTTTCTCAGAGACCTCTTCGCCACCTGGTGTTCTTCTGGCCGAGAAGACCCCAGAAAAAGCCAGATGCTCTCCTTCATCCAAGAAAGGTTGGAACGAAGGCTGTCTCCTTCCACCCTCAAGGTTTACGTGGCTGCTATCTCTGCACCATGACCTCCTGAAGTCGAACAGTTGGTCGGCACAACCTGGTCATCAGGTTCCTGTGGGGGGGCCAGGAAATTAAATCCTCCTCGCGCTCCCCTCGTACCCTCTTGGGACCTTGCAGTGATCTTATCTGCCCTGCAGAGAGCTCCCTTTGAGCATTTGCAATCAGTTGAGCTTAGGTTCCTGTCTATGAAGACAGCACTACTGGTTGCATTGGCCTCCATCAAGAGGGTAGGGGACATGCAGGCATTTTCGTTTGATGAAGGGTGCCTGGAATTCGGGCCGGCTAATTCTCACATGATCCTGAGACCCCAGCCTGGATACGTGCCCAAGGTTCCCACTACTCCCTTTCAAGATCTTATGTTAGACCTGAAAGTGCTGCCCCTGGAGGAGGCAGACCCAGCCTTGGCACTGCTCTGTCCAGTACGCGCCCTCCGTGCCTACATAGATAGAATACAGTCTTTCAGAACCTCAGACCAGCTCTTTGTCTGTTATGGTGGGAAGCTGAAGGGAAAGGCTCATTACAAGCAAATGTTTTCTTACTGGATAGTGGATGCCATTGCTTTGGCATACCAGCAGCAAGTTCAACCATGTCCCCTTGGGGTTTGGGCACTCTCCACACGAAGTCTGGGCTTTAGTCTTGGGCTTCCTTGTTGGCCTGAAACGAGACTTCCTTAGATTTCCACGACGCATGCGCGAGAATTGCGATCTCCTTCAACTACTTCAGTTCAGTTCTCGCGTATGCGTCGTGGAAATCTAAGGAAGTCTCGTTTCAGGCCAACAAGGAAGAAAAGGAATAGTCGAATAAAGTCGTTATTTTTGTTTGTTTTTTCGCACAAAAAGTATTCTCGTCGCTTGATAAACGTATAGTTGAGCCACGGTAGTCACTTGGAATATTTAAACATTTTCTTCATTGACTTTCTGGGCCGTCAAGAGCCAGTCCCTTAGGCAGCCAATGTGGTAGTGAGACAGCTCTCAAATTTAATCAAAAATATCTTTATTTGTGTTCCGAAGACGAACGAAGGTCTTACGGGGTCGGTACAGCATGGGGGTGAGTAATTAATGACTTAATTTTCATATTTGGGTAAACTAACCCCTTTAAGTCGATTATGAAATTGTAATAATACATTTACCTGACATAATAAATTGTTATATTTGATTATTCCAACAGACTTTGACTTTATTTTCCTAAGAGTTAAAAGGAATAGTCAAACATTCACGTATATTTAATGATCCACAGATATCATTGAAAAAACCTTTTCATATACAGTATGGAGTCAGATGAAATAACGAGTTAATATATAAGATAAATGTATTGCATTTAATTAAAAATCCCTTTGCCATGAGAAGAGACTCAACACGCGTGAAACCTTCACCTCTTATCGATTTAGCAGGCCTATAAGGCGAGGCTATTCACTGCAGTTCGCTCTCAGACCCCCACGCTTCAAAGCCAGGGTCGAAACTACGATGAAAATCCAGCCCGTTCTCATCCTTTAACGTCATATAGAGCGCTATATGACAAAACGGCGCTATACTACGCTAAAGGCACCCGTTATCGTTAATATAACACGTGCTGTGAGGGCTAAGTTTAGGTGTGGGGTAGGGTGTACGTGTCATATTCACGCTAAAGGATTTATAACGTCTTGGGTTCGCGTGTTATATTAACGATAACGGGTGCCATGTGCGTAGTATAGCGCCGTTTTGTCATATAGCGCTCTATATGACGTTAAAGGATGAGAATGCGTTGTGAAAATCCCATCCTAGATCTCAGACGCTTGAATAAAGCAGACAAATCCTTGCGCAAATTCGCATGAGGGTCTGGTTTATCTCACTGGAACTGATGCTTATTTTCAGATTCAAATAATTCCCCACCACAGGCCTTTCTTGCGATTCGCCTTCAAGGGTCAGAGTTATCAGTACATCGTCCTGCCGTTTGGCGTGTCTTTACCACCCCGTACTTTCACGAAGTGTATGCCAATCATGCCTTCATAAACACAATCATGCAAAGAAAAAAAGCAGTAAACCACCCCTTTAAGACAAAACAATGCCACCAACATAGCCTATTTTAAAATCAGTGTACTGTAAGTTACCTTCTTTCAGTTAAATTAGCTCAAACATGCATTTTGTCTCAGGCTAGCTTAAAGGGATAGTTTAAATTTTGTCATCAATTATTCATGCTCAAGTTGTTCCAAACCTGAATGAGTTTTGTTCTTCTTCTGAACACAAAAGTAGATATTTTAAGTAATATGGGTTACCAACAGTTGATAGGTCTAATTAACTTATAGTATGGGAAAAAAAATACTATGGAAATCAATGAGGCCAATCGACTGTTTGGTTTCTGTCATTCTTTAAAATATCTTTAATTGAATTCATCAGAAAATTTTGGTTGAAACTTTAAAGCCTTGCCTGTGAAACAGGGGGATTTCATTTAAATTGCAATTGATGTTAATCAACATGTCACAATATAAGATGGATTCATAAAAATAGATGTATTAAT